GCCGGGGGCTGCTCCCCCCTCCAGGGGTACGCGGCCCCCAGACCTGCTCCGGTGAGCGCCGGGACGGGCAGATGGCGGCCGGCGCTCAGCTGTGCCCAGCGCTGCCTTCGCTGGCCTGCAGAGAGCCAGCTTCTATGAAGCTGCTCCATGTACGCTTGGAGCCTTACAGCCCGCCTGTTTCTAAAGACGGCTTGCAAAAGACCCCTGAGTGCAAATGTCAGGCATGGCAAGGTGAGAGCTGGGTTATTTGGGTTATTTCCATTTGGCACTGGACATGCACAACGTGTGCTGCAAGCACTGCAAGGTTGAGAGGTTTTTGGTCTCCCAGGTCTGTTCTGCGGACTGTCACCTAACACCAACTTTCTGTCTTTATTAAACCAGTGTATTTTAAGCCCAAAGCAATGTGTTATCTCTCAAGAAAAAGTAAGCTGAGGGGTTTTTTTACTGTAGATATATCTGGGAGTTTTTGTCCTGCAATGCTTGAATGTGGAGATATTTTAAGAGCTCTGCTGTCTTGTGGCTGGGAGGGAATACAATAAATATGTAGATAGGGAGTGCTGCTGCTTTGAAAGGCAAGTAAAGGGTCTGTGCTGAACTGATACTAGCTGAAAAATTTGTTCAGCCTAATTAGCAGCAAATCACTTCTGTGTCCAACCTTGCTTGTAGAGATGGGAGCCAATTTTCCCCCCCCCTCGTCCTCTGCTGCCCTTCGTGGCTTTTCAGAGCCCTCCCTGGCTGAGCAGCTGAGGGTTCTTGTGAGGATGGCGGCTCTGCATCCATGTGCCATTGCAGACCAAGGAGTGCAAAATGGCATTACTGGAAATTCATGGGAAACTGTACGCCCATCTTGGGCTTTGTCTCGGGCTGTTCAAGCTGTCACCGGAACCGGTCACGATCGATCAGCTTTTCAATTTCATGAAATTTTAATTAAGGAATGGAAAGCCTACGAAGACATCATAGGACAAGAGCACTGGAAACAAATACAATTTCACTTCCAACCATTAGCCAGAAAAGCAGCAAATGGTTGACTGCACATCACCATTGCAGTCTAATGAAAAGTACAGCTCTTGGCTTCGGCGGCTAGGTCATTAGTGACTGAATAATCAGTGACATTTCCCTTCTAAATCTGACACAAACGAAGTGCAGTGCTCTGGAAAAAGCCGTTAAGTGCAAAGCCTTGCCTTTACGCTGCTCCAGGTATTGCAGAAGAAGATCTAATGGCAGCCTTCACCTGCGATTTGACTTTGATAGCATGCACAGGACAGTAACCCCCCGGTATGCCGAGACCCAAACGCTTCCAGCCTTGGACAAGCACGGTTCCTGCCATCCTTTCGTGCAAAAACAGGGAGCAGCACTTGCTCCTTGCTGGTGTTCACAGATGCCGCTGGTAAAAGATACAAGTAGGAAAACCTATAATCTGGAGTACTGGGAAGCTGAAAGGTATATTCTTATGCCTGAGAGGTACCAGGAGGTAAAGGTCTAGCTCATCGTGGAGTCAATTTAAAGCCTGACATCCTCCCGTGGCAGCTCCCAAAGTGTTAACCTGTTCTTCTGCAAATTTTTAAATGTTTTCTTGATGGGAGTGGAAAACGAGCGGAACCGCGCAGGAAAAAGGAAGGACTGGTCTTGTTTATGTCTGTCCCTCGACTTTCTCTGAATAATGTGTTGTCAGATGGACGGAGTAATCAGATGGGTGTAACTTCCTCTGCTCCCTCCCCACGTGCCAGTGGCTTTGAAAATAATGCTGAAAGGTTAATAGGAGCCAGACTGCCTCGGGGGGTCCCTTGTGTTGAAGCAGTGAGTCTTTAAGAAGGTTTTTTTGGGGGAAGAGACCCCATGAGGGAAACTTTTCCTAGGCAAAAGCATTGACAGGAGCTGGACTGGGAAGCACTGTTGTCTTGGAAACTCTGTGCTTTGGAGCTGGGTATGTCTGATCTTGAAAATTCCTTTTTCTTTATGGACCCCAAATTAGAAGTTGTCGATGCAGTCAGTGTATCTTTTTTCAATGGCTCTGATTTATATTTAGCCCTGTGTTGGGAAGCTCCAGTGCAGTATTTTTGGTTGTTAGCTCTCCTGGTCGTGTTTGGGCTAAGGGTCTACTGTTCAGTGGGTAACTCTGTTTTGGGTGTAGTCCTGGGAGTTATAGCCTTACTGAAAACACATGAATGACCACAGATAAAAGTGTGTTTTTAATGAGTAGTTTCATTAACAATGGAGTAAAAAACAGCTCAGGAAAGTTCATTAATGGCTAACCAATTCCATTCCCAGCTATTGTATAGTTAGTTCTGGCTGAAGGCTCTCAATAGTTTTATTGCTTAAAAAGGGCATGGTGATAAGATGTTGTTTCAGAATAAAAAGCTTTATTACCCTATCAAAAGTTTCTTTTTTATATAGTACATTTATGATGCATCCTTAACGTGCGCATCCAAACACTTGGATTTATATAAGCATCCAGGCAGCTATTGCCGTGTGATATTCTTTATCCTGCCTTCTTTCGGAGAGCTTAGATTCCCAAAATCCCTTTTGGCCATTAGAATTTGGGACTCTCTTCCGAAGCTGGAGGAGGTGCTGTGCCTGCCCTCGTCTCGCTGCAGAGCAGCATCCCCCTTGCCAGCATCTCGCCTTCCATCACTCAGGGTCATCTGGGAGATGCCCCATGCCGTCCGGAGAAGGCCTCCGAGATGCTGTCCGTGGGTTCTCCTAAATTACCCACTCGAACGCCCTTCAACGTGTGCTCTTAAAACTCTTTCCTTTGTGTACCATAAGGAAACCAAAGCAAGGAGCAATGCAATTAAAAATATGGTATTCCTTGGGTTTGTCATGGCTTTACAGGCCATCACCACCGGTGCTTTCAGTTCTTTTTCACTTGACTCTGGTCCCCCGCTGCTGACTCCAGCGGTCACCATCTCACGCGCTCAAACTTCTGGAGCTGCAAAGAGATGCAGAATATTGCTCATAAAATTAATGCCAACAGCTGACTCCCCTTTTCCAAGTATATAGTGAAGAAGAACTACCATGCAACTTATCTTTGCTGCATGCTTTGGTTGCAGAGAACGAGGTAGTATTTCTATATGACCTGGAAACCCAAGTTAAAGGGAAAATTGAAGGAGCTTTTTAATTGTAGTTCTGCAACTTAAACTGCCCTCTCTCCAACACAACCGACCGGTGTGTGCTGGACCACAGCTCCCTAAATCCATGTTTTAAGGATTGTGGCGGTAGGGGAGGTATGAGTGATGGGCATTGCTTTTGCGACTTGAAACCCTTGAGAGCGCAGAGGAGAAAGCTTCTCTCTCTTTTCCATCCTCAGGTGACGTTGTGGACATCTACCAGCGGGAGTTTCTCGCCCTCCGCGACCGACTGCACGCAGCCGAGCAGGAGAGCCTGAAGCGCTCGAAGGAGCTCAACCTGGTCCTGGAGGAGATCAAGAGGGCGATCTCGGAGAAGCAGGCCCTGCGGGATATAAACCGGACCTGGAGCAGCTTATCTGGTGAATAAACAGAGAAGTTGAGGATCTCAGGCTGTTTTGAAGCTGTTGCTAATGAGGAGGTAGAGAGGTGTGCGTGCGTGTGCGTGTGTGCAGGGCTGCGGACAGGACGTGCCCTTCTCTCCCGCGGCGCGAGCAAATTGTGGAGTTCAGAGGGACTTGGGAACTCCTCAACTCCTGTTTAATTAGAGGTGCATATGCATCATTAAACACTGAGATTTGCCTCTGCCGCTGATATTTGCCAATTTGCTTGCTTACAAGCTTTTTTTTCCTTCCAAGTCATACATGCCATTTCCTATGGCTGTATTGGATCCATATGGAAAATGGGTATCCAAAGAGGCGGGGGGGGAAGGAGTTAGGTTGGCTGAGCACCCCTCGCGAATTTATTTGTTCTTTTTTTTTTAAGTTGCTCAGTTGAAGAAAATTGGATCCCTACAGAAAGATCCGATTTGACCTTCATTTTATCTTCATTCTCCCCCCTCCTTCCCAAATATTTTGGGACTTCTTTAAGGCCCTCATGGCTCCGGCTGAACTTTAATTGGGTTTGTGGTAGCATGTTAAAGGTTGGCCTGATTTTTTATAACCCAGCAGTAGTCTCGGGTGGCCAGGCTGCTCTAAAAAGGCTTTTTGCCTTGCAGTCTCTTCCTACCTACCGTTCCTTGCAATTGATTCCCTTTTCCTTTTTAAGACGAAACCAAGTTAAAACTGTGGAATATCACCAACAAGAATGTGCTGCACCTTCCCACCATCTTCCATCATTTGCCACATTTGCTGTCAAAGGAGAACAGTCTGCAGCCAGCCGTGCATGTGGGACAGGGGCGCACTGGAGGTAAATGGGAATTAGTGCTGCTTCTGGTGCTCTTCCTCACCCTGGTGCCTGTCCCTCCCCTTTCCTCTGGGCCTGGCTGTGGTACGGAGATGAGCAGGACTGGAGGAACGGCTGCATGCATCATGCAAGCTTCCTTGGTATTGTGGCATGCGGGGTGGGTAAGCCATGTCACGTCTGCAAGTCTACGGAGTCTGTGCTCTTGACTGGCACTAAAATGTTCTCAATGCTTCTGCCAGATGTTTTTGCTGCTTTCCATCTCCAGAGTGCTCTAGACTTTGCCTGGAAGGTGGTCAGATGAAAGCACAGTTTGCAGGGTGCTTCATGAAGACTCTAACTAGTCTTAGGAGACAAATCCCATCTGGAGTAGGACTTTGGGTACTAGCCAACTTTTTTTGTTGTGGTTGTTGATTTTTTGGTTTCCCTCTTTATAAATGCATCTGCAATCTTAATACAAGTCTATGGACTTCTGAGATTATTATGGACATGGTTCAGTGGTGGACTTGGCAGTGTTAGGTTTACAGTTTGACTCGATGATCTTAAAGGTCTTTTCCAACCTAAATGATTCTACGATTCCCCCCTGCTCCCAAATCCCAACCCAAAGCCAAAGACCTGACTTACCCCTCTGAAACTGAGGTGCTTCTGGCCATGGGAGGGGTTTGAAGTACAAGGGTGGTCTTGAAGTTGACAGGCTGAAAAGGCCCCTAGGAGGGGAAGGGGGTTTGGGTGTTTCCTTAGGCATTAGTCTTTCAGGGAGAAAAGGAGGAGTCTATCTGACTGCCATGGGTGCCCTGCCAGCCTGGCACACTGGGGTGCTGCTGGTCGGTACTGGGCTGGGGGACAGGAGTATGGGGACCCTACGTAGCCCAGAAACCTGCCAACTTGCTGATCACTGCTGGTTTTTAATGACCTAGCATGCCACCAAGCAGGTGAACCATGAGGTGGTCATGGGAGCGAAGTGTCTTGTCCCAGCACACCCCCCTCTCTAAAATCTGTCCTTGGCTCTGAGCAGTGTCCGTTGTGATGGGAATCCCCAGCGTGAAGCGGGAGGTGCATTCCTACCTCACCGACACCCTCAACTCCCTCATCTCAGAGCTTACTCAGCAGGAGAAGGAGGACTCCGTCATCGTCGTCCTCATCGCCGAGGTAAGACAGAGCTTTGCCTGTTTATCCCGTTTCCCTGTTATCCCGTTTCCCTGGCCCCCATCCCACTGCCTGCCAAACTCGGTGCCAAACAGGACGGCTGCCCAGCTGGAGACCAGCTCTGCTGCTTGCCGGGGCAGATAAGCCCAGCTTTGGGCTGCCATCCGACCAGGATCGTTAGGTGCGTCCTGCCCAAAATGAAACACCGATCGGGCCAGGGAGGGTCAGGGTGCGAGCCGGCAAGCATGAGCAGCTGCCAGTGCAGCACGTGCGTTTATCTTTCTGGTCTGAATCATGATGGCTCTTGCAGGGTGCTTGAGTGGTTGTTCCCAAAATGTGCTGGAGCAGCCCCGTGGCCACACCTGCGGGAGCTCTCAGACCCTCTCCTGGAGCAGCTTCGCTTCTCCGTGTACCTGTAAGACCTCACTGACCCCCTCTCCAAACCCAAGAGCCCGCTGATTTGGGGCTGAGACTAACATGATGCTTCTTCGCACTGGTGTCTGGAGCCCAGAATCAGTTGCTGAATCCAGGGGCTAAAAAGCCTTGCTACGTTAATCCACAAGAGCTGCTTTTATCTATGGGTTTAGATGGTTATTTTTTTCCATGGCTTTCCCCTCAGGATTATTTTCTTGAGCTTGAAGTGCATTTGTCTTAATTTCCAAAAATCCGGTGAGAAAGATAAACCTCAGTGGCATGTCACTGGGAATGGAACAAAGATAAATGTCTGGGTTTGCTGCCTGTTTACTCATAATTTGACATTTTGAGTAGCATTTGGCTTTTGGGTCCCTGGCTGGTATTTCATACAAGGAGAAGGTGTGCACAGATGGGTGCAGCTCAAGGTGCCCAGGACAAGGTTCAGTCCTGGCTGTCATTACCCTTTGAGCCAAGACAGGTTTGGTGGCAGTTTTCACAGCGGGTGAGTTAAATCATGAGAGGTTTTAAGTAACTTGACCAAAACCATCTTCTGTTTAGGACTGCAGTAATTTTTTTTTTTTAGTGGACTTGAAAATAGGGTGCACACTGTGATGGCAGCACCTGACTTTCCGTGTGTGCCTGTGACGAGGGAAGTGAACAACAAAGAAATTAATTCTGATACCATGAAGTGCAGGAGCACATGTGCCATAGCCCAGTTGTTGCAGATCACCACAGTCAGTGTTCTTTCTCGCTGACACAATGTCTTCCTTCCATGCAAGTGTCAGCCACCGCTGTGCCTGCTCTGCCTCTTCCCAGACAAAGTGTTTCTTGATGTACCTGCACTTGGCGTTGCTTGTTAGGGCTCTTCTTTAAAGAGTAAATAGTGAGAGGTGGTATGAACCTGGAGCGGACGCTGGGTAATTTAGAGACTCAGAACAACGAGTGGAGCAACTGAATGTCCTTTTTGGGATGGGGACTTCTCATTTCTGAGTGCCACCACTAACCACTGTGGCTGTCATCCACGGCGGCCGGGCTGCCTGGGAGAGCGGGGGCTCCTCAGCTGGCAGAGGGGAGCTGGCCGGCTCGGCTGGCCCCACCCCGCCGCTTTGGTGGCAGCCGGGCGCTTGGAGCAGAGCTGCATGTTTGCTCCCAAAGCCAGGAGCATCTTTCCTGCCTTTGTTTTTCCCATTGCTGTTTTCTTGGCAGCGCAGGGGTAAGAAATCAGTCCAGCACTGGGAGGCTGAGCCCTGTTTGGGAAAGGGACCTTTTTCCTCTCGAGAAAACCTCCCTTGTCACCGTTCCAGCGTGGAAGCGCTGTCCTCAGCTTGTGACATGCATCCCTGGCGTCTCACTTCTCACCTCCGCCCGGCGCCGAGCACAGCGGCAGGGCGGGGTCCCGGCTTCTGTGATGCTGCGTCTGCAGATCTGCCCGGGACGCGCGGTCCCGTGATCCGTACAACCTCCCAAAACAATACCACCACCAGGAAACAGGCGCAGTTTTTGCTCCTGGGTCTCCAGCCCTTTGTTCTTGGATTTTGTTTTCCCAGTCACTGTGCAGATGGTTTCTGTCCAGTGCCTGTCCCTGTGTTTGCACTTACCTCGCCTGCAGATAGCGGCGTGCGGCGCTGCTGACCTTTGCCTCCCAACTGTTACAGGTTGCCAGGTTGATTGTGGGAACAAACTGTTGTTTTAGGAAGAAAAGCATCGAAATGGACCTGAAATGAAAAATGCACGCTTATAAATAAACGTCTCTTTTTCACAAAGGGGGTAGAGATCCTTTTCTGCCAAGAGTGTTTGCTTGGATGAAAGCCAGCATGTATAGAGAAAAAAAATAAATAGCTCGGAAGTTAATACTTTGTGCAAACGCTTGGTGCTGGCAGGGGCAGAAGTGCCAGGAGAGCACGTGGGGAAGATGTGCAGGGCCTTGAGTCCTTTGGGGTGGTTTTTGGTGTGTGATGCCTTTGGTTAACACTGGCCACGAAGGAGGGCTCCTAGGAGTCCGTCAGCATGGAGAGAGCGGTCTAACTGGATAAAAGGAGACATGAAGATGGTGCGGAGGTGCTGACAGTACCCCCGGGGTGTGTTGAAGGTGATTTCTGAGCCATGGGGGATACAGGCTGAGGCTGAAGGATCTAACACTGCTTATCTTTTGTTTTCAGACAGATCTGCAGTACACAGCTGGAGTGGCAGAAAATATCAAAAACTTGTAAGCACTTCCAAATGACTACGGCAGTACGGTCTGTGCCTGTAGCAAGGCCAGGGAACGGCTTCGTTAAGGAGAAAATACACACTTTTCTGCTTTCCTTTTGGTTTTTTTTTTGTTGTTTGGGTTTTTTTCTGTTCTTACACTCTGGGCTGTCTTTGCTATTGCTGCTTCCACTTTCTGCTTGTTCTAAAATGCATCCCATATGTAGCTTCCAGTAGGCTGCTTTGTGCTCGCAGTATTTAACACATGCGGTCATGCCGTTTCATTTTGCTCTTTCTGTCCTGTGGCATTGCGAGAAGATGGATTATGTAGATTTCCAGTGATCCTGGCAATTGTTTCTGTGTCTAGTGCAGCCCTCTACCTGCTCTGCAGAGTCAGAGCAACTGGGCAGTGTGGTAAGCACACCCAAGTGCTCCTGCCTTATTTTGCTTTAGAATCCGTGATCCATTTTTCTTTCCGCTCCAGCCTGTTTGTTTTTCCCTTGTTCTAGGCGCTAGTTACATTTGTCTCTCACGCTAGCTGCTATTTATGTCCCAGAGTCTTAGTGGCTTTTGCAGCTTCGTCTGTGGCTGCTTAGGCAGAAGCCAGTGATGGATTATTAACCGTGAGCCGGTCCAGGCGTTAACAGCATCAGAGTTGGAAGGCAAAAGAAAAAGGTGGTGAGAGAAGAGGCTGTGACTCCCGTCCAGCTCCTGCGATTGCGTGTTTCCAAAGGATCACAGTCGCCATAAGAAGGAAACGCGAAAGGGCAGCACATCCTCCCGGCGCCCCGCGTCCCCGAGCCAATGATGGGAGAGGGGCTGGGACGTGTGCGGGGAGGGTTGCGTTCCCGGGCACTTGCAGGAGAGCTGAAACAGAGCCCTCCATCTTGCTGTGCAGGAGCTGGCAGAGCTCCCCTCCTTCTGCCTGCTGGCAGGAGGACGCACTTGTCGGGGGATAATGGACTGATTGTCCGATGGATCCTGATGAAATTACTGGGTGCTGCTGCAGAGAGTGCTTCTGCATAGAAGGCCTGAAACTTTAATTGACTTAATGATTTGATTTCTCGCTGTCCCCCTCCCAGTGCCTCCTGCCCTTCCCTGATTCACTGAAATTATTTTTCTTCCAAATTGAATTGAGGTGGTGTGGAGCCAGGGCAGGCTGAGCTCATATCGCAGGAGGGAGAAAGCTGCTGCTGCTTCGGTACAGGTTTTGTCAGCTCAGTGAGAAGCTTCTGTTTCACTGCTGCCTGAGGAAGGGAAGATTTGAAAATGTTAGCTGAGAATCTTGCCAGTCCCAAGGAGGGAATAAGGAAGGGAAAAATAAGTGAGAAGTTTTTGGCAACCTCACTGCTTTGTCTCCCTCTGCCCCATCTCCCGTCCTCCAGGCTCTGCACAAACAAAGGAAATCAGCCTTGCACCAAATGTTCTCAAAAAGGCAGTATAAAAATAACTGGTTTTCCCGCTTATCTCTCACAGTTACAGTAATCTCTGGGTATTGCTTGCAAGGCTGTTGTAGGTACCTATTTTTCAGATGGGTGACTTTTTTTTCTGTTTGAGTTTGACTCTTTAAAGGGTTCTTAATCACGTTATAGGGAAAATAGATGCTGATT